GAGCTGTCAGCACAAAGCCCAACGTGGGGCTGGAACTTGGGAATGGCAAAATCATGACCTGAGCCAAAGTCTGACTCTTACCTGACCTAACTGACTGAGTTACCCAGGTGCCCCAATTTTGTTAATTTTTTCAAATAACCAAGACCTTAGTTTCACTGATGTGTTCTAATTTGTTTTTTTGCTTGTTTCTATATCATTTATTGTTGCTCTGATCTTTGTTATTACCCTTCTTCTGCTGGCTTTAGGCTTTATTTGCTGTTCCTTTTCCAGCTCTTTTAGGTTTAAGGTTAGGTTGTATATTTGGGACATTTCTTGCTTCTTGAGATAGGCCTGGATTGCAATACTCCCTCTTAGGACTGCCTTTGCTTCATCCCAAAGATTTTGGACTGTTGTGTTTATATTTTCATTTTCTTCCATGTATTTTTTAATTTCTTCTTTGATTTCCTGGTTAACCCATTCATTCTTTAGTAGGATGTTCTTTAATCTCCATGTATTTGAGGGCTTTCCAAATTTTTTCTCGTGGTTTTACAGTGTTGTGAAAAATACACATGATATGATACCGATTTTTTTGTACCCGTTGAGGGCTGATTTGTGACCCAGTATGTAATCTCTTCTGGAGAATGTTCCATGTGCACTCGAGAAGAATGTGTATTCTGCTGCTTTTGGATGAAATGTTCTGAATATATCTGTTAAGTCCATCTGGTCCAGTGTGTCATTTAAAGCCATTGTTTCCTTGTTGATTTTCTGCTTAGATGATCGGTCCATTGCTCTAAGTGGAGTATTAAAGTCCCCTACAATTATGGTATTATTATCTATAAATTTGTTTATGTTTGGGATTGATTTATATATTTGGTTTCTTCCAAGTTGGGGGCATATATTTTTACAACTGTTGGATCTTGACAGATAAACCCTTTATAATATAATGCCCTTTTCATCTCTTTGTTACAGCCTTTGTTTTAAAATCTAGTTTGTCTTGGGGCGCCTGGGTGGCGCAGTCAGTTAAGCGTCTGACTTCAGCCAGGTCATGATCTCGCGGTCCGTGAGTTCGAGCCCCGCGTCAGGCTCTGGGCTGATGGCTTGGAGCCTGGAGCCTGTTTCCGATTCTGTGTCTCCCTCTCTCTCTGCCCCTCCCCCGTTCATGCTCTGTCTCTCTCTGTCCCAAAAATAAATAAACGTTGAAAAAAGAGTAAAAGAGATCCTTATTCTCTTGCTATAACCACTGAGAACACTAATGAGTGAGCTATAGTTTCATCTATTTATTATAAAATTAGAAGGAAACTATATAATTTTTTTCCTGTTTAGTCTACTGATAACGTAGTATAAGCATTATTTTTTTAAATTTATTTTAATGTTTATTTATTTTTGACAGAGAGAGAGAGACAGAGCATGAGTG